AGAGTTTGGATCACCACTCTGGAGGTCCAAGCACTGGAGAAAGTTTTTCCATAATGTCCTTGCAAGTGGATGTGAGCTGTGGGTTAAAAGCCTGAGTTCTACAGTCACCTAGCCCAGAGTTCTGTTCTCATCTCTTTTGCCTCCTATTTCTCTGGCAATTGGATGTACCTCTCTGAGCCCTAGTTTTCTCCACTGCAAATGCAGTTCTTGCTCCCTTACTGGGTGGTTGCCAGGTTTAAATGAGGTCAAGTGTGTAAAATGCCTGGCGTGGTGCCTGAGGCTAAATAGGCACTATTAATTAGTAATAACAATTCATTGTTTGCCAGCTGTGGGCCCAGCTCCCATTCAGCCCTTTATGCCCTCTCCTGTCAACACGGGCACCCCTGCTTCCCTATCTGGGCTCAGCCCAAGACTCTCTGTTGCCGTGCCCAGTGGGAGGGACCCCATCCACCCCTTCTGCCCACCCTCACGCTATCTGGAGACCTCTGGAGCTCGGTTTGGTCTTCTCTGCTGCCGGTTCCTGGCTGGCATCTGGGAGCCTGGGAAAGAGACCTACAGTGGAAATAGCCAGAGTTTTGCCTTTTCTGGCCACCTGGGGGCGCCAGCTTGCGCCGTGTGTTCGGGGCTGCGTAAGCCCTCCTTGCAGAGAGCCGGCAGGGGATCTTAGGCTGTACACGCTGTTTGGCCTCTTGCCTTTTTTCACGGCATATTTTTTGGTGATTAAAAAAAAAATCCCTAAAAAGCTGTGCCACCGTGGGGCGCCTGGGTTGCTCAGTCAGTTAAGTGTCGAACTCTTGATCTCAGCTCAGGTTTTGATCTTAGGGTCGTGAGTCTCTTGACCCTGCATTGGGTTGCTTGAAAGCCGTATCTTCACCTTGGCATTATCCACCTGCTGGACTGGATAACCCAGCACTGTGGGATGGTTAGCAGCATTGGTGACCTCCACCCCATAGATGCCGGTAGCACACAGCCACTGCCTCCCACTTGTGACAAGAGGTGTCTCTAGACACAGGCAGATGTCCCCATCAGGGACAAAACTACCCCCGGTTGGAGCCACTGCTGTGCATCCCCCTTTCCATGGGCACTTAGCTTGTCCAGTTTTCACCACGAGCAGCGATGCTTTGGTGATGACCCACGTGCCTCCCTCACTTTGCCCGCGTGTGTGGGAGGGACTGACTTGCTCCCTGTGGCATGGCATGGTTCCAGGGTTTGTGTATTTATTTGCGTGTTTCCATTTTGGCAGGTGGTGTCCATCTGCTAGAGGAGGGGTGTTCTTTGAGGGGAAGGTCCACCTGACTTTTCCTGGGTTGTGGGCCCCTTTGAGAATACCAAGAAAGTTTTCGCTCCTCTCTCTAGGAATGCTCATTCCCCGGCGATGGCACAGTGGTCCAGGATTCAAGGACGCCCAGTGGCGCATAGGTCCCCCTACGACAGAGAACATGTGCTACACCAGACTGAAGAAGGGCTTAGCAAGGGCTGGCTTGGAGCAGGATGTGGGAAGGAGAAGTGGACCGGGGGGCAGGGTGGAGGGCAGTCCAGGGGAGGAAAAACCATGAGAAGAGGCATGAGGAGGTGGGACACGTGGGTTGGGGAAGCAACACGGGGTGAGGCTGGACAGGTGGGAGGGGAGTTGGATCACTGAGCTAGAACACCGCGAGAGAACGGGTGGATACTTTCTCCTGTGGGTACTGGGGCACCTTGGAAGATTTTGCTTTATTTTTAAATCAAGGCGTAACTTACACAATGAAATGCACCATTTTCCAGTGTAGCAGCCTTCTACGACTTTTGACAAATGAAGGCCTGTCAGGCAACTGCAGCCACCACCAAGACATGGTAGGCTTCCATCACCCCCAAATTTGTCTTGCCTCTTTCTGGTTACCCTTCCTCCAGCCACCAGGACTGGCAACTACAGATCTGCTCTCTGTCCCCATAGTTGTGCCAAAATATTTGCAGAATGTCATTTCAGTGCAACCATGCAGTATGTTGTCTTTTGAGCTTGGCCTCCTTCACTCTGCCTAATGCAACTGAGAGCCATCCTTTGCGGCAGCAGGTAACCCTAGCTCATGCCTCTCTGTTCTGAACAGAACCGCGCTGTGTGGATGGACCTCAGGCCGTTTGCCCTTCCCTGGCTGAGGGTCGGTGGGTTGTTTACCGTTTGGGGCGATTAGGGATAGCCACGCAAGGGTTCAAAGGCGGGGATGGCCTAGTTAGAAGCCGTACTTCAAGATGCTACACGGGCTCCAGGGCTGAGGAGGGAGCCCGGGCAGGGCGGCCGTGGCCGGCGCTCACCCCCACCCCCCACCCTCTGCTCTCCCTCCAGGGTACGGCCACGCCGCGCCAGGCACAGACTCGGGCAAGGTCTTCTGCATGTTCTATGCGCTCCTGGGCATCCCCCTGACGCTGGTCACCTTCCAGAGCCTGGGCGAGCGACTGAATGCGCTGGTGCGGCGCCTCCTGCTGGCGGCCAAGCGCTGCCTGGGGCTGCCGCGGCCACGCGTGTCCACCGAGAACATGGTAGTGGCCGGGCTGCTGGTATGCGCCACCACCCTGGCCCTCGGGGCCGCCGCCTTCGCGCACTTCGAGGGCTGGACCTTCTTCCACGCTTACTACTACTGCTTCATCACCCTCACCACCATAGGCTTCGGCGACTTCGTGGCGCTGCAGAGCGACGAGGCGCTGCAGAGGAAGCCGCCCTACGTGGCCTTCAGCTTCCTCTATATCCTCCTGGGGCTCACGGTCATCGGCGCCTTCCTCAACCTCGTGGTCCTGCGCTTCCTGGCGGCCAACACCGAGGCTCCCGAGCGCGCCGCCCGCAGCTCCAGCCTGCTCCGCCTGGGGGCGCCCGAGAGCCGCGGCCGCTCCCCGCCCCGCCGCCCCACCCGCGCCCGGGGCTCCACCTCCGTGTCCTCGCGCGTGCACCAGCTGCAGATCGGGGCCCGCGACAACCTGGGCTTCTCGCCCCCCTCCAGTCCTGGGGCTGTGGGCAGCGGCGGGGCGGGCAGGCTCCCGGCCCGGCGGAAGTCCATCTGACAGCCCAGCTCTGGCCTGGGCCCGGGGTCACCTGTCAGTGCACCCTCCCCAGAGCTCGGAGAGGGGTTAAGGGCTATGGCCTCCAGGCCGTCTTCAGCCACGGGCAGTCTGTCCTTCCCTTTTGTGGCCAGCCCCTAAAGCAGCACCATAAGCACGAGGGCCACGCTTCAGTCGCCCTGTAGGCCCAAATCCCTTGTGGTTCAAATTGTTTCAGGAAGGCGTGGCCACATCAGCCCCCCCCCCTCCCCCCCCCCAGGTGAGGCTCTCCACCAGCCCGCCCTCTGGAGTGGGAACAGGGGGCCATTTTTCTGTTGTGAGAACAGGCAGGTTTTCTGTGTTTCGGGGGAGATGGGCGACCTTCAGCACTGGAATCAACAGTGAGGCCAGCCGCTTACAGCACCAGCAGCACGGGGATCCGATGGACGGCAGGGAAACATCTGTGCAGTGGGGAGGAGTGGGCAAATCCCTACTATTTAAATGATTGTTCATTCTCCCGCTGTTTGGTGTAGAGTGGAATTGGCCCATGTGTGAATGCAGCATCCCCTCCCCTCCTCCTCATCTGCTGCTCTTCATCCTTGGCCATGCCACCTCAGGATGAGGGGGGCCTTGCTGGCAGCCCCCGCACCCCTGGGGCACCTGGACGCAGCATCCTGCTGTGGGAAGAGCCGTCGTCTGGGACCTGCCCATCATGTGACCTTGGGGAACGTCATCTCCTACCTGGGCTTCAGTTTCCAGCTCTGTAATAGGACTGGAATCCGCCACCCCCCGCCCCAGCCGCCATGCATCTCTAGAAGGTTCCGCGCCCACGGTGGGGCGTGCTGGCATCCCACAGCATCCGCTCCTTTACACACCAACTACCCCTGGCTTCCCAGACAGAACTCTCACCACAAAGCAGAGCGAGCCAGGTTAGAAAAGCCAAAAACTTTAATTTTCAACATGAGCTACATGGTCATGAACACAATGCAACGTGACCCACACCCACCCAGGGGCCCCGGAAACCCTCCCTCCCCAAAATCCCGAGCAGCTCCTGCTCCCGGAGAGGGAGTGAGGGAAAAGCGGGCAGATGGAAAGGCCCCCAGCCTGAGGACCGAGGTCCGGCCTCCCGGCCACCCTCTTAGGAGGCAGCCGTGGAGTGAAAGGATTCAAGATGTGCTGCCTGAGGCCCCGGGTTCAAGTCTCCACTTTGCCCTCACAAAGTGCCACTCCTCATCGCTGGGAGTGCGATGGGCACAGTCCGCCTCCCCCACAGGGCGTGTGAGTCAGACATGGTGGCTTTCCGTCCACTCTGAAGTGCTGCTATACAGACAGGGGGCCCTCCCGAAGAGCCAAGGGGATCATTACTGGGGAGCGGGAGGGGGCTCGGTCCCCTGGGCCCGGCACAGCGCTGCTGCTCAATAAATAAATGCAGGTGGCCTTGCCTGACGCAACAGCTGTGCTCCAAGGGGGGGGGGGTTGCTCAGCGCCGCCTCTCGACACTGAACGGTGCCCAGGAGCTCCTGGTTTAAGGAACTGGATGGTGAATCAGCTTGTAAAGTGTGTAACCACCCCCTACACGATCTGCCTCACCTCCTATAGCTCTCCAGTGCTGGAGAACTGAGTTCTAGTCCCGGCGCAGCCATGGCCCCACAGTAGGACCTTAGCCGATGCCTTCCCTCCCCGGGCCTCAGCTCCCTCGTCGCTAACGTGGGCTGATAATACTGGCCCACTCTACTGCCCAGGGGCTCTTGGGAGTGTGTGCTTGACGTCAAAGCACTTTGAAAGCAAAAGTCTGAGAAGCACAACAGGAAGGTCAGGTATCGTTACATCTGAAGGCGTCGGGAGGCTTCACATGCGGTGTACCACGGCCCCCTCGCTCGCAACCAGCCCCAGGCAGGAAGTGGTGCTTCTCACATCCCTCAGGTTGGTCCTATGGGGCTATGGCCCCTCCTGCAGCGGGAGCCTCTGCCCAGACAGACTCCAAGGCTTAGACCAGATCCGTGTACCAGAAGTCAGCTGGACCAGACCCCAGGAGAGCTAAGTCTCTATGGCAACTCTCTCCCCCAAACCCGGGCCCTCGGAGATGGAACCAGGCAGGGCTGGGTGGCCCAGGACTTAAAGGCCACAAATACTTATCATGGCAGACCTGCCTGGTCAGTGGCGTCAGGTCCCAGGAAGGAGCGAAGCAGGACAGAGCCCCTGTTCTGTCCCCATGGATCATTTGTTGAGGGGTCTTGGGCAAGTCACTTCCTGATTCCGGGCTTTAATTGCCTCACCTCTCAGAGGGGCTACAGGGTGCCCATCTTTTCTGGGCCACTGAGAGGTTCTACAGAGAGAAGGGAGGAGGAAGTGTTGTGTGAAATGGCGGCCTCACTTGGTCCCATTCTGGCTCCAGCTCAGCCTGGGGTTGGAGGAGACCCAGGTTAGGGGGTGTCATTGAATTCCCAGGTGATCCCAGAGGCAGGCCTCGCCTGGCCTCAGTCCTCCTCTGTAAAATGGACTTCACTAATGGTCCCAAAGGCCCTTTCCCATCTGTATGAAAAGCGGATTCTGGCAAAGGGAAATGAAGACTTCCTCCCACAGTACCCCTGCGTGTGACTTTTGGCCCAGTGATTGAGAAAAGAATCAGCCCCTAGCACGCGGCTCCCAAACTTCTATGGGGCCCCGTCTCTGCTCCTCTCCAGGTGGAGTGTGAGTGCGCCGAGGGTCAGGCAGCAGTGGGGACAAGCTAACACTGAGAACCGTCACCCCCTCCCCCAAAACCCCATCTCTTGGTGAGGACAGACAGTGGTTCCCGCACCAAATGGTCAGAGCCCCTTGGAAGCAGGGCACGTGCTCACAACAATTAGACAAAGAAACAGGGCTCCAGCCCCACCCCACCCCACCCGAAGGTGAACTGAGATTTCACAGAACAAACAAGAAAGTCAGTGAGGGGGGCCCTCGGTGACCACCCCCAGATGTTGTTATTGCTTTGGAGCGCGTTCTCTCTTTATAAAGGCTGTGCAGACCCCGGAGGGTAGGCTCTGGCCTGGTGGGGGGTGGGGCGGCACCGAGCCCTCTCGCCCTCTATGTGGGACAGCCAGGCTCTGCCCCGTCTTTGAAAAGCTACTCCTGAACAACCCGAGCAGTGACAGCTGGAGAGAGAAGGCGCTCTCCTGGCTCAAAATATTCCAAATGGTGAGTAATAAACGAACAGCGGAGAAATCACACTGGTTAAAAAAAAAAAACAGGGGAGGGGCTGATTCCGAGCCTCAGATGGGAGGCCCTCCAGGGCCCTGGTGGCCTCCTGCCCCAGCCTTGGGATTCCACCCAGCACAATCCCAGGAAGCTCGGGAGAGCTCATCCAGAAAAGAAAGGGGCATCTCCGTCTCCCCTTCCCAGTGCAGCATGGGAAGCTCCATGGAGGCAAGATAACTCTTCCAGAACGTTAAAGGCTCCCCAGGGCTTAAATGGGCAGAGAGAGGAGGGGAGGGCGGGGAGGGGAGGGAAGGGGTTCCGGGTGGAAGAAATCGCCTGGTCCACAGCCTAGAGTGAGGCCAAGGAGAAGGCGGGACTGAACACAGCTGGGCCTCCGGGTGGAAGACGACCTCGTCCGTCCAACGGAGCCCAGACCCTTCCACCGAGGCCCACAACCCTCAGGAGTGCTTCACAAATAAAACCTGTATCAAGGATAATACATCAGAACATCTGAGTAGAAGGGGCAGCTCCAGCTACAACCCTGGGGGTAGGGGGAGGGAAGGGGAAGAATGGCTGGCTGGCCTCCCACGACCCAGGCTCCAGGCCCAGGCCCAGGCCCAGGCCCAGACCCAGACCAGCAGGGAGACCGCCGTCTCCTCTCCACCCCTGTCCTGGAGCTCTGTAAGGTCTATATGCAAGCTAAGAACAGGCCCCGGGGCCTGGAACACTAAGTCTACCCAGCTAACTTGGACTACGCCCTACACAGCAGGGACTGGGTAATGAGGGGTGGTGGGCTGCTGGGTGCCTCCCAGGGGGAGGTGGCAGAAATGTGCTTCTATAAAGAGGGGCCAGCCTGTGTCCTCCCAGCATGCAAAAGGGCTTCCGTAGGCCTCGGGGAGGGCCGGGCCAGGAAGGCAGCTACCCAGACCTGCTTGAGAAGGAATCTCCCAATTCTTACACTCGTGAGCCAAGGTAGTTGAGGCCAGGGCAGTGGGTTCTGCCCTTAGTATAGGATGGTTTGTTTAAAAAGACTAAAACAGGGAAGCTCTGTTGCCTCCCCAGACCCCTAGCCTGGAGGCAGAGGCGTAGACAAGAAGACCTTTGACCTCATCCAACGAGGAGGGATTCTCCTATTTGAGAAACCCTTGCCTTGGCACCACCAGTCCCAATCCCGACTTTACTCGGACTCCCTCTCCAATCCAGCATCTCCAAAATTCAGAGGCAGTGAGCTCTCTGGATTTGGGGTTCTCAGAAATCAGGGTCCCGCAGCCCCTTCACCAAAACGCAGACCACCCAGTCCTTCCCAGTCCGCCATTTTCAAACGAGCTTGTTGCAGTCCACAGAGGACACCCTGGGGGTCTGTGCCAGGCCCAGGGCACTGCCTCCTTTCCTTTGGTCCCTGCTGGACCCCAATTCCTAGAGCCACCGGAAGAGGGGCAGGCAGGAAGGGACAGACAGATGGACTCAGACAGGCTGCGGCAAAGCTCCTTCCACGGGCAGGCGGAGGGAGGCCAAGCTCCTCATCAAGCGGGAGGCTCTGGGCCCCCCGGAGCTGGCTCCGGATCCTTGCAAGCCCGCCCCATCGGCTCTGGGGCAGGAGTAGCTGCCTGAACCCGGTGCCGCAGGAAAGACACTTGCTGGTAATTGGCACCATGGAGATGGCCGCTGGGTTCTGGACTTGGCTCCGGGCAGCGAGCTTCCGAGGAGGCGAAAGGGGGGAGCAGTCGGACAGTGTCTGGGACAGGAGGATGGTTTGCTCTGCCACCTCAGTCTCTCCTTTCTCCGGAATGCAGCCACATCCACCAGGGCAAGAACCGGCCAAGTCAAAAGTGCAGCCAATCCCGTTGGGAGAGGGAAGGTCTCAGGGGATAGGAGGCAAAGAGTGGGTGAGGAGGGGCCCTGGGGGGCAGGTTTCCCCATTCTGCTTCCCCACTGTGGGGGAGAACCCCATCCTCCTCTGTTCAATGTGCCCCTGGGCCTGGGGTCCCAGGTTGGGGCTGGGCGTTCTCCAGGCCTTGTCAGGGAGCCCCTCCCACCCCGGCCCTAAGATCGCTCGCCACAGGGCCCCACGGTGCTCTCGAGGGACAACTGGGACGCCTGCCGGAGCAGGGGCCCCGCAGCCGGGTCCACCATGGAGGAGGTGGGGAAGAGCTTGTACCAGCCCACGGCTAGGGTGGTCAAGTCCAGCTCCTCCAGTAGCACACGGGCCACACCCATGAACTGCTTCCGCTCCATCCGCCCATAGTTTCCCCACACGATCACCTGCGGGGCAAGAGACACCGTGGGTCAGACCCTGCCAGGGCTGCTAACAGGCCCAGAACCAGACTCCAGGTCACCCCCACGCCTGCACCTCTGAGTCCTGGCTCGAGCCTGACTGCGTTTTCCTGGCTCTGGTGCCACCGTTACTGTTCGCCTGGACGACTGGCTTCCTGCCTCCCTACCTCCCATCCAGCCCTCTCCACTCCACCTTCTGCACCCTCCTCCACCTTGGATGCCAAGCCTTGAGGGTTGACCCTACATGGGGAGTCCCCTGCCTGGTCCCCGCTACAACCCCCTCCAGGCGCTCTGCTTCCAGATCCTTGGAAACCCCCCACGTGAAACAAAGTTTTTATAAGTGGCTGACGATGCCCTTCCCTGTGTCCAACAGCCTCCTTTCTGCAGTGCCTTCCCTGCTGTGTGGTTTACACACTGTCTTGGGGCAGCCAGCTGGGGGGTTCCTGTGCTCAGGTCCCGTGCCCTCTCTGAAGGTGGGCCGGCTCAGCCACCCCACAGAGCCTGTGGGAACGCACGCACGGCTTCCAGGCTCAGACACACGTAGGTCCCGATCCCAGTCCTGGCTTAATGGTTCGGGCAAGGCATCTAACATCCCGGCGTCTCCGAGTTCTTGTTTCTAAATGAAATCACCCCCAGTTTACCTCGCGGGTAAGGATCAGAGGAGCGGATGTGAAAGTTCCCTGTGAACTCTTAGCAGCTCCTCTAGCACACGGGAGGGGGGAGATGAGAACAGTGTGAGCCCATGCCACCATGCGCGGTGTCGGACTGCCCCAAGGTGATACTGGCCTTAGAGGCCATCTTCCCAACAACTCTACAAAAACGCCCATTTCAGTTGTTTCAACTGGGAGAAGCTAAATCACTTGCCCGAGGTAGCCCCCTGGGCAGCTGAGCAGGAGCCCACCTCTAGTGCATGCATGGGTTCATTTTAAACTGGAGTTGTGGGCTCAGCTGTGTTCCCCCCAAATTCATGTTGAAGCCCTAGCCCCCAGAGTGCGACCGTGATTTGGAGACAGGACCTTAGATTCAAATGAGGCCATTAGGGTGACCCTAATCCAGTCCCACTGGAGTTGTAAGAGACCAGGACACGTGGAGAGGCCACAGGGGTGCACGTGTACGGAGCAAAAAGACCACGCGAGGACCCACAGAGGGGAGGCGGCCGTCTGCAGGCCAAAGAGAGGTCTTGGAAGAAACCAAATACCTTGGTCTTGGGCTCCTAGCTCCAGAACCGTGAGCAATTTCTATTGTGTGAGCCACCCAGGCGGTGGCACTTTGCCACGGCGGCCCTCGCACACTACCACAACTAGCATTTGGATCTCGAGTATGGTGCCGGTGGGTCTGTCCTGCTCTGGTGGCAGTCAGAGCGCTCCGCAGCAAGGACCCCTTAGGCTGTCTGTCACCCCGCGCCCTCCACATCCCAGGCAGGGCGTCCTCCGTTCTCCGGGGCTTCTCTGAAGACACCCAGGCCAGAAGGCACGAGCTTCCTCTAGCGGACCAGATTGTGGCCCCTGGGTGGTCTTCTGGGGTTTGACGTTGTATTTACGTGCCTCTAGGCTGGAAGACTTTCCCCAAGCTTTTCTGACAGGGACATAGAGTAAGAGCTTCACAGCGTCATGGGGTGCAGACGCGGGATTCCCAAAGGAACCAAGTGCCTCACCAGTGACCACTTGTCTCCCGAAGAACAATAAATGTTTCCTTTCTCAGTCCAGGCCATTAAGCAAACAAGCAAACCAACGCGTTGAGAGCCACTACACGGATTTCTCCGCTCAGATGGGTCTTAACCCTCACGTTGAAAAATCCTGCCCCAGACAGGCCCTGGGCTTCCCAGTTGGGCGGAAGTCCCACTGCCTCGGCCACTTGGAGCGCCCCGGGCCTGCCCTCGTTTGCTCTGCCTGCCCCGGTTAGAAGCAGGCAGGGAGGCACCAGCTTGAGGTGCCTAAGCGGCGGCCCTGAGACAGTGGACACATGGTTCCCACAGGCGTCCGACCTGGGCCCCGCCGACGCCCGCGATGGGCGGTTACTTCCAATTCCTCCTCCGAGTCTGCCCGAGGACCTCCTAACGACCAGGAGACGGCTCGCTTCTCTGGCCCCTCACTGCCTCCCAGCGGATGATCTCTGTGTTCCAGGCCAAGCCCCGGCTTCCAGAGCCGGCCATGTTGACGTGAACAACAAGAACGATGGCAGCAGCCACGCAGCACGCTCCCTATAGGCCAGACTTACACTTCTCTTGCACAAACTACACACGTCAACTGTCACAGTGATGTTCCCTGGAGGTAACACAGGCACCCCCCTCCACCTCCCCCCATCTTACAGAGGAAGTGGCTGAGGCTCAGAAAGGAACCTGCTCCAAGCTGTACTGTGGCGCTCAGACCAACCACAGGGCTCCACTCCCTCCAGCTGCCACCCCCCCCTTCCCTCCTCCCAGGAGCGCTCCCCCCTCCCTCAGGAATTGCACACACACCCCTGCCCCAGGGCCCCTCACCTGCAGGACTTTGCCCTGGGGGCTCTCAGGAAACAGCAGCACCTGGTTATACAGAGGGTCCAGTGACTTGCGAGCAACTTTGGTCTTCTTCTTGGCAATGCAGACGCCGTTCTCCAGCAGGTAGGCCTTGATGTAGGCCGCTGAGGATAGAGGCCGGGAGGTAACTTCCAATCGGGCCCCAAACGGTGGGCCCATGGCACAACAGAGGGACACTGCCTAGTCACTGCTGGGGGTTGGACTGCCCCGCTCTGAGGTTTGGGTAGGTAGCCACAGGGGGGGTGCAGCCTGCGTTGGGCAGTTGCCTGCACTGACCTCTTCCTTCTCTCAGTCCCTGATTTGCTTGCCCCTTCCCCAGCTTCCACACTCAACACGGACACATCTGCTCAGCCTGACTGTGCCAAGGCTGTCCTCCAGAAGCTCAAACCAGTGGAGGAAACCAATAAGGTCAATAAGTGTGTCCTCAGAACAAACCCTAAACCACTAGTCCCATGTGAGTCATGGAGTTGGGACAAAGGGGTCCCCTTGTAGTTGGGCCCAATTTTCTCTCTTCTCGACCCAAATACTCTTCAGGACCTCCTCCCCGACGTCCACCCCTGCCTTGCAGAAAGAAGGGCAGTCCCCACACCTGGCAGTGTCTTGGAGCCTGGCTTGGCCGTCAGTCCCCGAGCCTGGATGATGTCCACTTCGAGCTGGCCATTCCGCTCCTGCAAGCCGATCTCCACGTCCCCTGCAAGAGGCCCCAAGCAAAGCGACTGGAGGTAACTTAGAAGCTCGCCCAAGGGTTCAGCCCCTCCTCTCTAGAGATGAAACCCCTTCCCCTGCTCCCAGCCCAAACAAGACCAGAAACAACTCCAACCGCTTGAGGGCCTGGCAGGTGGGACCGGGCTCTAAGCTGAGTGCTCAGCGGATGCAGCCAAGGTAGAGGGAGTGGGGGAAAGACCTGGAACAGGTCTTGGGGCACTCACCCATGGGCGTGGTGGCCAGGGTCTGGCGGCCCACAAACTGCGCCGGCCCCATGCTTCCAAGGAAGTCGCTGAACTGTGCGTCGGACGCCAGGCACACGCCCCCGTAGTTAAGGCTGAGAAGGAAGGAGGCGACAAAACCAAATGTCCTCCCCAGCTCTGACTGGGGGCTCTGATGACTCAGGCACTCACCTCCAGAGCTCCTCTCAGTCCCCAGGGATTCTGCCCATATCCACCGCCCGGCCGCCGGCAGACCTCTATTCTCTCTCTCCCTCCTTCCACGTTCATGGTCCTAACATCTCCACATCAACTTCAAAATTCTAGTTCTTAGCTTCTGTGTCCTGTACCATCCCCTCACCTGCCCTCACCAAGCCTCAGGCTCCACCTCCGTGAAATGGGTCTGATGATACCTGCCTCTTGGGGTGGTTGTAGGACACGTGGGAGGTGATGCTGTCAGTGCCTGGCTCCCGTGGCTTGGTGCCACGATGCTCACTGTGCGGTGCAGGGACCAGCAGCAGTGCCCAGGAGCTAATCAGGAACAGATCTGCACCCCACTCCACCACTACCTGCTGAATCAGTCTGCCTTTTAACAAGAGCCCCAGCAGACCTGTCCGCACCTGATAATTTGAGATGCAAAGGACCCGTGGCTCAGCCTCAGCAACCTGTATTTGTTGCTGCTAAGGGGCTGCCCAAAGGCCACTGCCCTTTCTGTTGGGAATGAGACCTCAAATCTTCTTTGAAGAGCCCCCATCCCCAAGGCACCAATTCCCATGGAACAGAGCAGAGCAGGCCCCAGGGCCCAGGTGTGAGCTCAGCCTGGCCGATCAGTACATTCCTTCCCTTGGCCAGTGCTGGTTCAGAGAGCTGTGCATGGCCCAATTCAGGCCATAGGAATCTAGTTAGGAAGCTTCCCGTGAACTGTGGGGAGTGAGAAGCTCCCTTTTCCCACCAGACTCGAACCTTAGAAGACTGGAGCCATCTCGCTACCATCTGGAACCCAAAGGAGGAAACCATCAGATAGGCAGAAGGCCTTGCATGAGCTCCTGGGTCAAGCTCTATCTGTAGCAAGATACTTCATCTCTTTTCTGGTTACATAAGTCAATAACAACTATTATTATTACAAATTATTATTATTTTGCTTCAGCCCATTTTAATTATAGTTTTTCTCTCTTATTTCTGAAATGGGAATAATAATGTTCCCATTTCCTAGGTCTGTTGTATTAAATGAGATGAGTACTGTTATCTTTAGAAGCAAAGCACTGGCAGCCCACTTCCTCATCTGACCCTCACTCCAACCCCAAGAGGTTGGTGGCTCAGATTTACCATCACTATTCAGATGAAGAGGAGGAAGTCCTGCTCCGCCTAAAGCCACAGAGCTCCTAGGGAGTCAGCACTTGAATATAACACTTCCAAGGCCAAGCCCTGGTGACTTTCCACCTGGGCAGGTCCCAAGAACACTAGTGGACTTTTAACAAGTGCCTATGGTGTGGCAGGTTGCCCAGCAGCAGCCAGGGAGGTCCCTGAGCAGAAGGAGGAAACTGCTTTGGGGCCTTGGGGGCACAGCACGCTTGGTTCACTGCCCGAGAGCACCCCCCACCCCCGCCAACCAAAGCTTCCCCTCTTTGGAAACCTGCTGGGATCTCAACCTGAAGGAGCAAGATGAGCTTCCAAGAGCTTCCAAGGAAGGTGGGGCTTGGGGATGCACTCCACACACATGCCCCCTCCTGCTTCTGAAGCACCGGTGCCTTTCCTGAGAGACAAGGTGCCTTTCCCTGTACACTAGGAACCCACCATTTTGCTGGGGGAAATGTGTTGCTGCTGAAGAAATGACCAAAGAGGACAATATACTGAGACACACCCAGTCCCCGACCCACCTACTTCGGGCTGGGTACCCCAGTCCTGAGGGCTTACTATGTGCCAGTACCCCTCAGGGCTCCAGGGCTTATCAATTCCTGTCCTCATGGGCCATACCCTCTGGTGTGACTTCTGCAGTGGTTCTAGGGAAACAGGCATGATTTTATTGAGCTAACATCAAGGACGCTGGGGCTCAGCGAGGGAAAGCCACTTGTCTACGGTCACACAGTAAGAGGGTGGAGAGGCAGAGTTAGAACCCAAGTCAGCCTGTGGAAGACACCTTTCAGGCGGCTGCCACGGCATACAACACCCTCCCCTTGTCCAGGACTGGTCCCAGGATGTGGGGTGAGCTCCCAGAAGCCCGGTATGCCTGAGTGTGGTGAAGGCTCTCCTCATCTCTTCTTTCGGGAGAGACATTTCAGTCTGTCTCCCAGCCTTGTAACCAAGTGTGGCCCCTGTGAGCTGAAGGGGTACAGGCTCCTTCCAGGGCCGTCTGCCATGCCGTCTGTTGTGCCAATCTCAGCCTAAGGACAGTAACACCCTAGGCTAGAAATGTCTGGAGCACTCACCTGGGCCCCCGCGTGCCTGCCACAGACCTCCCCCCTCTCTAAACCAGTGTGAGGACTGGACCAACCTTTGTGGTTCTTACTAAGATGGCAAGATACATCAATCACCAGGGATCTTTGTTGTTGTAAGCAACAATTACCAGGAAACTTTGGAGAAATAAAGGCTTATTACCTACAAGACCTGGGAAACTGCACAGCACACCTGGGACCACACAGTGTGGTCGTGGGAAGGGGGAAGTGGGCGCGAGAGAGCACACGGACCAGGGGTTCTGCTTTCGTGGGGGTCCAGGGTGGGCGCCTAGGGGTTCAGGGCTCACTCTTTAGTGGTGAATTTAAAACATAAGAGCAGGAATTTAAAGCACGGGAAGAGAAAAGACAAGTGGCCCAAATGGTCAGTTACCGAAATCAGTCAAGATCTCTAAAACAAAAGAGCCTCAACCGTGGAGGAGGTGGCCCGGCTCTGTGTGGCTGACAAATTTGTTTGCCTCTTTGAAATGAACGCCTCAGCAATCAGAGCTGAAGACAGGCATTGGCATTATAGAGACAAAACAAAACCAAACCAAACCTGCCAGGGCTCACAGGATGCCATCTCACACCCATTGAAATGGCTACTATCAAAAACAAAATAAAATTAAGAAAACAAAATAACAAGTGTTGGCAAGGATGTGGGGAAATTAGAATCCTTTGCACTGTTGGTGGGAATGTAAAATGGTACAACCGCTCTGTAAAACAGGATGGCAGTTCCTCAAAAAATTAAAAATAGAATTACCATATGATCCAGCAATTCCACTTCTGGGCGTATGCCAAGGAAATTGAAGGCAGGGTGTCTGAGACACATTTGTACACCCTTGTTCATGGAAGCATCATCTGCACTAGCCAGAAGGTGGAGACAACCCAAGTGTCCATCAGAGGACGAAGGGTCTATACATACAACACATTATTATTCAGCCTGAGCAAGGAGAGACATTGTGACACATTTTACAAATGTGTAAAATTTGTAATGATGAGTCTTGAAGATGTCATGCTAAACAAAATAAGTCAGTCGCAAAAGGGTAAACACTAGATGTTTCCACTGGTAGGAGATATTCGAACAGTCAAATTCAGAGACTGAAGGACGATTCCCAGGGTGGGTGGGAGGGAAAAATAAAGAGTTTAGGTTTTCTGGGACAGAGTTCACTTTAACAAGATGAAGAGTTCTGGAGGTGGACGGTGGTGATGGTCGCACAATGTGACTACTTAATGCCACCGAACCAACACACTTAAAAATCGTTATGACAGGAGCGCCTGGGTGGCTTAGCCAGTGAAGTGTCTGACTCCTGATTTTGGCTCAGGTCATGGTCTCAGGGTCGTGAGACTGAGCCCTGTGCTGGACGAGGAGCCTGCTTAAGATCATCTCCCTCTGTCTCTCCCCAAAACCCCTCCTCTCTTTAAAAAAAAAAAAAAAAAAAAAAAAAAGGTATAATGATGGGTGAAGGAGAGGGGGTGGCTCAGGTTTCCAGCTATGGAACCATAAGTCCCAGGTGGAGTTGTCCCATCGCTATGTTGTACGTCTGAAACCAATGTAACCCTGTGTCATCTCTACTTCAATGAGAAAAACTGTTACAATGTTGGTATCTTGTGTATTTTACCACAATTCGGAACCTCATATACATTCTCTCCTCCCCCATCAGGGACCCTAATGACGGTGAGGCCACAAGAAAAAGGGAGCCTGGGCCCAACGACCAGAAACACCTGCCCTGAAATTGACATGAACCAGAAACGGATGCTGTCATTCAGCCATCGATTAAAGAGGCCGGTTATGGTAACTGGCTTTACTTAAATACAGGGCCCCTCTCCCCTGGGCAGAGCTGACGGATCCATGGCTTAGACACCTGACCCAAGCTCACACAAAAACTCTCCGGGAAACAAGAAAAGAGAATCCCAGAGACTGAAAGTCATGAGGACGGAGCCCTGTGCGCGGCCCTCCCCAAGAGCCCCAAACCAGCCCCCCAGGCCTCGCTGCTCATGCTGCTCTCTCACCCATGGGCGGCACCTGAGTGGCATGCCAGGAACTTCTCTCTCTACTCAAGTTATTGGCAGGCTTGATGGCAGAATGATAATTTGACACTGTAGCCTGACTATTTTTCCTTCTCGTGATCTCCTACCATCCCTGCCGCCCTCTTCCATTCAGGCAACAGCCTCAGATAAGTGATGAACCAGTAGAAGGCAATGAACAAGCTGGTCAGATTCTTGGCCTCTGAGTTGCAAATCCAAGAAGAAACAGACGTAGAGGGATAACGTGCAAAAACCAGACTGTCCTGTCCCCAGATACACGGCAACTCCCCAGCCCCAGAGAGCAGCGGAAGTCAGGGAGGAGGGGAGAGCAGGGATGCTGGAGGGTCCTCAGGGAAGGCCTGGGTCCCTGGACGGGGCTGGTAGTGCTGAGACCCATTGGGAACCCCCACACAGGCCAGAGGCATCTGAAAGCAGAGGGGACTTGTGCCCATCCTTCCTCTTGGGCGGAGCTAAGAAAAGGGCATGATGCTTTGCAGAAATGGCTGCGTGGTGTCTGGTCACGTGAACCTGTCACTCAGGCTGTGTGTGTCCCTCCAAGCCCAAGAGAAGCATATGTTCCTGGCACACCCGAGAGAGGGCCAAACCAAGACAGGCAGAGGAGTGCTGAATCCAAGCAGTCCGGCTTCTGAATCTATTATCTC